GTGTAGCACTTATTATATTAGTGCATCATATTCTTAACATATTTTGAATGCTGGGATACGTCGCACTCCTTTAAAACAAAGGAAAAATTATGCGTTAGTCATCAGCCATCAGCAGATTGCATCGTCAAGCCGGCTAGCCGTAAATACATCAACTAGGAATCAAGTCCATACTTGGTTTGGATGGTTATTAGCAGCCAACTCAAGTTTGTTTTGCCCGTTCCTCCGAAACACTTAGCCTCAAAATCACAGCATTTAAAATGATCTGTAGAAAATGAGTGAGCTTTATGTGTATGCATGCGTAGCACGCCTAGCTTTATAGGGTTGTGCAGAGTTGATGGGCAGAGTGCATATAGGGTTGCATTATAGGGTTGTGCAGAGTGCAGAGTATATATATATATATATATATATATATATATATATATATATATATATTTATTACATCCGGCTTGTCTTAAAATATAAGGACCGAAATGGAGGGATATTTTTGGAGGAGGCCCCAAACCGCAGGGGACCTCACAATGGTGCGTGCCCCCCCCCCCCCCCTGACGAAGTCCTGGATCCGCCCCTGACTGGCATGGATTGAGACCAAGTGTTCAAGCGCCAGTATGAACCATTTTGAATAAAGCTATCAGAGTAACCCCAATTCGTGGGGTGTTAAAATACAGCTTGCAGAATGCTGAAATGTGACTCTGAGTGAAACTTTAAGACGTTTAGAGCCGCTGAGCTGACACAGAATGAAGCTAAGTGGAAGCTGAAGACACTTGTGTTGTTGCCTCAACCAACGCAAAATGCCGTCTGCGAGATATTATACCGGACTTTATCAGAACTGTATGCTCGAAACACGTAAAGGTACATCATTGTATTCAAAAAGGAGAAAGAAACACGTTTGTTACGTTTTATGGCGCTCTAAGGAACTTCATTGTGTGCATAATGCTACAAAGCTAGGAGTGTGATTTTCTGGGAAGTTTGACATTTGGCCTGCAATTTCGAGCTCAATTATTAAACAAATGCCTAAAACTAGTATCAATCGCGAGATGTCGTTGAGACAAAGCCACTGGTGTTTTCCGCTATTTCTGGTTGGAAACGCGAGGGAAGTCGCATCCTCCGTCCACCAATCCGCGTTAGGAAAGCGGCGAATCGGGGCGACGATTAAGGGACATTTTTTGACTTATGGAAATGCATACAAGTATCGCGAACAACGTTCACACGCGCATTGTCCGCCGATCGCTTTGGAAACGATCCTCTTGTACCAGGTCCACTTGCCGAATGTTTTATTTATTATTGCTATTTTAATGTATTATTTTAAGCATTGTCGCTTCAGTACCAAGGTGATGTCCATGAAGTTAGCGATTTATTCAGCGATTTTTACAGCGACGAGTTCCGCTTTCCCCGAAAAATGGCTTCAAGGTCAATTGTGGGATGAGAACACTAAAAATGACCCTTATTTTGCCATATCATGTGACCTTCTAGGTCAAAAGCTGGGTCAAAGGCCGGGAAACTCGATATCACCCAAAAATTACCGGCCGATTTCCAACTTACGACAACATACTTCCAACAACATGTCAGAATATTCAACATGGAAAAAACTAGCGTCCGTCTAAAAGTCCTGACCTCTCAACGTCACCGATGAAGGTTAAACGAGGGCCCAAAGGACGGGGAACTCCAAATTACCCAAAACTTACCGGCCGATTTCAAACTAACAAACAACAGAACATTCATCACAGAAAGAGCTAGCGTCCGTCAAAAAGTCCTGACCTCTTAAGGTCACCCTTCAAGGTCAAACGCGGGCTCAAAGGACGGAGAACTCCATATCACGCAAAAATCACCGACCGATTTTTATTTTACAAAGACCAGAACATTTAACACAGAAAGAATTAGGGTCCGTCAAAAAGTCCTGACCTCTCAAGGTCAGGACTTTTAAGGTGTTTAACCCTTCAAGGCCAAACACGGACTCAAAAGACGGGGAACTCAATATCACCCAAAAATTACCATCCGACTTTTAACTTACAAAAATCAAAACATTCACCACAGACAGAGCTAGCACCCGTCAAAAAGTCCTGACCTCTCAAGGTCATCCTTCAAGGTCAAACGCAGGCTCAAAGGACGGGGAACTCCACATGACCCAAAAATTACCGGCCGATTTTTATTTTACAATGATCGGAACATTCACCACAGAGAGAATTATCGTCCGTCAAAAAGTTCTGAGCTCCCTCAAGGTCACTTTTCAAGATGAAACGCGGGCTCAAAGGACGGGGAACTCCATATTACTAAAAAAATTACCGGCCGATTTTTAACCAACAAACAACAGATCGTTCATCACAGAAAGAGCTAGCGTCTGTCAAAAAATTCCTACCTCTGAAGGTCATCCTTCAAGGTCAAACGCGGGTTCAAAGGACGGGGGACTCCATATCAGCCGAAAATTACGGGCCGATTTTTAACTAACAAATAACAGAACATTCACCACAGAAAAGGCTAGCGTCCGTCAAAAAAGTCGTGCCCTCTCAAGGTCATCCCTCAAGGAAAACGTGGGCACAAAGGATGGGGAGCTCTATATCATCTCAAAATCACCAGCCAGTTTTAAACTTGCATGCACTATGATATTCAAAACAGAAAGATGTATCGTCCGTCAAAAAGTCCTGGCCTCTGAAGGTCATTCTTCAAGGTCAAACGCGGGCTCAAAGGACCGGGAATCCCGTATCACCCAAAAATTGCCGGCCGATTTTTAGCTAGCAAGCAGCAGAACATTCATTCCTTTGAGCCCGCGTTTGACCTTGAAGGGTGACCTTGAGAGGTCAGGACTTTTCGACGGACGCTAGCTCTTTCCGTGGTTAATGTTGTGATCTTTGTAAGGTCAAAATCGGATGGTAATTTTTGGGTGATATGGAGTTCCCCGTCCTTTGAGCCCACGTTTGATCTTAAAGGGGGACCTTGAGAGGTCAGGACTTTTGACGGACGCTACCACTTTCTGTGGTAAATGTTCTGATCTTTGTTAAATAAAAATCGGCCCGCAATTTTTGGGTGATACGGAGTTCCCCGTCTTTTGAGTCCGTGTTTGACCTTGAATGGTGACGTTGAGAGTTCAGGACTTTTTGATGGACGCTCTTAGCTCTTTCCGTTGTGAATGTTTTGATGCTTGTTGGTAAAAAAAATCGGCTGGTAATATTTGGATGATATGAAGTTTCCCGTCATTTGAACCCGCGTTTGACCATGAAGGGTGACCTTGAGAGGTCAGGACTTTTTGACGGACGCTAGTTCTTTCTGCGTTGAATATTCTGCAACTGGCAAGTTGAAAATCGGCCGGTAATTTTTGGGTGATATCGAGTTCCCCGCCCTTTGACCCAGCTTTTGGCCTGGTAGGTCACATGATATTGCAAAATAAGGGCCATTTTTGGTGTTCTCATGCCATAATTGACTTTAAAACCATTTTTCGGGGAAATCGGAACTCGTCGCTGTAAAAATCGCTGAATAAATCGCTAGCTTCACGGACATACCCGGGTGCCGTATTGCTAGCAGAACACATTCCACGCCTGCCAGTTCAAGACCCTGAACAAACCGGCGATGCGAAGATGTGATAGTCGTGTAAAAGCTTCCATTTTAGCAATGCTTGGAAGCCACCGCAGTACCAGCAGCCTTCTTCTACAGAAGGGCAGAATAATGCGCGCTAATAGTGTCATTATCAATAATGCCCTTTCACGTTAACCAGCGCTGGATGCTACAGTTACGGCGGAACGATAGATGGTCTTCTGTTCAGAAACCATTCTAGCCGATTGTAATTCTTCGTGGTGACCAACGCGAAGACTTGAGGCTCAGCCCTGGTTCAGCCCGCCGCGCCGGAACGGTCGCGTCGGTCAGCTCCTGTCCAATCGAAGCACTAAGACCTAGCATTCAACGCTTCTCTAAACTGGAGACCGATTTGCAACAAATTTAGCGAAAACGCGTGCATTGGTTCATTGAAAATTGATAAATGTTGCTATTTTATATGCCAAATGTGATGTTGTTCAAACGTCTTTGACAAAAAACGCTAGCATTATTATAACGTTATCAATTTACTGTGCAACGCAACGACACACCACACCAATCACTGTCACATTTTCATGGCTACGCTTGGTAGTTCACTTCCCTCCTCATCTGTCTCACATCGTATTCCCATCAAAATTAGAGACAAGTGTCCCTACCCCAACCGATGGAATTGTCGACAAAAACTGCCTTACAGTGCTGCAATCTGCCAAAGTGGCATACTTGTTCACTGCCAAGTCTAAATGGAAAAGGATGAGTCTGATAGTAATAAAAAGCACTGGAATTGATGAAATAGACCAAAAATGCACAAAAGCACAGAAGGCTTCACTGACAGAAAGAGGTTTTAAAAGACCATGAAAGTGTACCTCCGGTAACGTCAATTGGCTGAATCCTGCGAACGCGTGTAGAGGCATTGGGATGACAACGGCTTGGATAATATCATAGAAATACAGTGCAAGGCAATAGTAATGGCTGTATTGTTCGGAGAAAACCAGAAGAATGGAGGCAAGTTTCGGTAAAGGCATGTCGCCAAAATATCAACCCATCTTTATCTCCATTCTCCTGTTTTTTTCCGAGAAATAAGGCTACTACGCTTGTCTTATCTACGTGAATAGTGTTCCTCGCAAATGCACCGTACATCTTACGTGAAATGCCCGGCGTGTGAAACGTTCAGGCAGCTGAAAAAATCGATAATGTCATTGACCAGGCGAGTTTTCATGAATGAGCCCACCATGCAAAGCCATTCTTTCTGTTAACTTGTATGCATTTTGAGAAGAATTTACTTCACACTGCAATGGTTTTCAGATACTGATTTGATGCCCCGATAGCAAGACCACCAATGAAGTGATCTGCCGACTTTTGCTCTGGAAAAGAGCGGGGTATTTCCCGATTAATTATCGATATGGTGTAAATAAGGCTGCACATTTCTGGCGCATGCTGGCGATTGCAGAGGGATTTTGCCGCGATGCGAAGTGTCTATGTGGAGGGTGTTGGTCGTGGGGCAGGTTGCGGTATCAGAATTATAAAATATTACGGCCTCAGACTGAGAGACGTACTTTGTCGCCTGCATAAGTGAAGTCGATCCATTGTACGTAATCGGCGAAAGGGGATGTTAATGAGAATGCATCTAGGTTTGCGAGTGGCATCCTGCCTGAGCAATATTTTTAAGTGCGTGAATCTAGAGGCCCAGTAAAAGGCTATATTTATATATATATTTATATTGAATGCAAGATGAATTGTGACCGCAAAAAAATACTGACATCATTCAAAATATATCTAGTTTGAACGATAGTTGCATGACGGGCAAGTATGTCCATTAGTGGTGTTTAAGTGAAAAATAATAAGATGTCAAGATGCAAGCCATCAACAAGATTTGTTCCAGCTACAGTTGCCTGGGCCATGCTCCTTGGCTGCACAGGCATTTACTTTTACTTTCCGTAAGTATATGCCAAGGGCATGGATAGTTTGTAGGTGTTACAGGCCAGATACTGAGTTCTCTGGGAATACATTGTGGTTGCTGAGGTGTGGATCATTGAAGCAGGTTTCTTATCCATTGAAATGTACCCTCCAGCTGTTATTTTGTACTAGCATGCAGCTGAAGTTAGGGTGGAAGCAGTATTATATATTAACATTTTATAAGCATATTGTTTTGCCCACATAAAGGTAGTATAACATCCGTAATAGTGTGATAGTTGCTACTTGGGCCAAAGAAATTGAGGTGAACATAAATAACCAAGTAAGATTTTAAGTTCCTGGCTTTTCAGCATTGTGAGTTTGGAGGTCTTAGGCTTGCAATAATCAACCTTCAAGGTACCAAAAGGCACTGGTAAACCGAAGTTTTTGGGCAAACCTTGGTTTATCATCTAAATGCAAGGCAGATACCAAAGTTTTGTCAGATAGCAGTACAGTCTGTTCAAGTATATTTATTTACATTTATTATCTGTGGAGTCTGCTTCATAATTCAACATGTCCAATCTGTGTAAACTGATCACACATGAAGTGTTCACAACATAGCCAATATCTGCTTGATCATATCATGTGGTCAGCATCTCCCAGTATCTGGAATACTGACCATTGTTCATTGTTGTCAAGATAAGAACTCTCAACTCATACTTGTAGCAAAGATGTATGTTGGAAACACTGACCATTCACCTTCCTTTTCCTGCAGGTGTGCGTGGCTCTACATGCGACTTCAGCCATGGGGTTTTGTGGTCCCTCTTTGCGAAGGCATTCTAACTTTTTTTGTGATTGCCAACTTTGCATTGGCTACATTCATGAATCCAGGCATTGTGCCAAGAGGTAATATAACTACAATAGTCATTTTATTTGAGCCTATTTGCTCTGCCTGAGTTCAAGTTTTTTTGGACATGTTTGCATTAAGTATGATAGTTTTCTTAGGTTTGTCACATTAAGGATTTATTTTTCCAAAGCAGTTCATGCTTGTATATTTTGGTCATTATAGCTCCAAGAAGCTTGAGTAAGTCTAAGGATTGTGTGGCTTTATTTACCTATCACAATGCACTCATCACTGTGGTCAGCTCTTGAATATTGTTCTGAGGTGTTTGGCAGTGCTGCTGTTAAATATTTGTTGTTCTGCATTTTGATATAATAATAATCATGCTCTTTCTCTAATGACTTTGTTCTCCAGCTTCCTCAGATGAGGACCGAGATGATGATTTCCGCCTTCCCCTGTACAAAAATGTTGAGATAAGTGGCATCACAGTGCGAATGAAGTGGTGTGCTACATGCCAGTTCTACCGGCCTCCTCGGTGCTCACACTGCAGCGTCTGCAACCACTGCATAGAGGTGCGGACAAGGGTTGGTGGTAGGGGTTTCACCTAAAGTTGTGCTTTGGATATCTAGACACCATGAGTCCTGGCAGCTGTACCCTACCTTTTGGAAGACATAGTAAACTCAAGTGATGAAGCAATGACTTATGTTCCTAATCAGGTATGTTGGTGAATTCATATATTGAGGAAAAAGAGACAAAGAAGAAAGCTGCAATGGCATGTTTGTCATCTGTTCATCTTTTCTGATACTGTGAGGCTGTGCCAAACTTTACGTAAATGCCTGTTGCTTACAATCTGCTTGCCAATATAGGTGTCCTCAAATGTCAACCTTTCTTTTCCTTCCCCAGACATTCGACCATCACTGTCCGTGGGTGAACAACTGCATTGGCCGACGCAACTATCGCTTCTTCTTCCTGTTCCTGGTGTCACTGAGCGTGCACATGGTGTCGGTGTTCGGCCAGTGCCTGGTGTTCGTGCTGCGCAACCGAAACGACCTCAGCGCCGCCAGCGTCATCGCCACGTATCCTCTGACTTTGGGGTCATGCGCAGACTGGAGCAGGTGCAAGGGACACAGGCCTATCACCTAGGGAGGAATAAGCTGGATTTATGGGGCTTTTGCTTCAAAGAGAGTATTTTTGTATGCATGCAATTCAAGATGTTCCTCGGTGTAATATGTATGTCTGAATCAATTTATGGTGATTTATTTGCTATATGGGTTGATCGTGGCAGCATCAGCCGCTTTGCATTACACAGATGTGCCGATTCCAGTGGCGTGTTCAGTCCATGCCTTGCTCGTTCCCGCCGTCGGTGGTATCCTTGACTCACCGACGCAGGATGGTGGTGATGTGCGTGATTGGTACGCTGCTGGTGCCCGTGTTCGGTCTAGCCGGCTTCCACACGGTGCTGGCCACGCGTGGACGCACTACCAACGAGCAGGTCACGGGCAAGTTCCGCGGCGGCTTCAACCCGTTCTCGCGCGGCTGCTGCGTCAACTTTTGCCGCACGCTGTGGGCGCCGCAGTATCCCAAGTGAGTCGCAGTCCTTATCGCTGGTAATGTTTGGGCAGACTTCCTTAAAATGTTTTGGCATTTTGTTTGGAAGACGCTGCTCGTTTGAAAGGCGCCGGTCTGGAGATCGAAATGCCCGTTATGATTATCGGTAAGGAGTTGCATTAAAGCTGCTCATTGCATGCTGTTTGAGCGGGCCTGGCTTGGCTGATCAGGTGTCTGGCAAACAGAGAGAAGATGATGGCGGGTAATTCATACAAAACACCTAGGCACGATGACGCGACCAATATTCAACGACTGGGGAAATGGGAGGATGTGCTCCAGCCGCTATGGTGGCCGTGCCATGCATCGTGTTGAGCCGCTGACATGACATCTGCTCTCGCCCCAGCGTGGTGACCCTGTCTCGGCGCGCCAGGTGGCTCCCCTGACTCCTTCTCTCTCCACCCCAGCGTGGTGACCCTGTCTCGGCGTGCCCGGCGGCGGCAGCACCCGTACAGCCTGCCCAGCTCGCCGCAACGGCCGCCAGCCATCGCCGCCGACCACCAGGTCAAGCTGCACATGGACAACGGCAACGGCTTGCGCGGCAAGAGCTACGCCGCCCGCTACGCTCAGGTACGGCCGGCGCCGGCGCGCATGTCGGCGCCGCTCTGGCCTGCACGCCGCCGCTCGCGCACGCCCGGCGGAACGAGCGCCGGCGCCTGTGGGCCCGTCCCGCATGTCGTCCAACGATGCACGATGACAGAGACGCCGCTTTGTATGCGATCAGCACCGCATGTTGACTGCGTTCGCTGCGCTGGCGCGTGTGAGGTGTTCGTGGGAGGCAGGAGGGCGAACTTCACGGCCCCAGGAGAAGTGTGTTGTAAGTTGGCACACTTGGTCACCGACAGTTTTGTTGAGCGCGTCCTTTCGGTTTCGCTACGACCACTTGCGTGAGCACCGCTGACCTAATATGCTGTGTTTCGACCCGGCACCCCGCTTACTCAGCTGAACGCCGCAGTCGAACCTGCCTGCATCTATATGTGTCTCTCGCTTGCCCTTGCACATCTGGTTGGGAGGCGGGCCCAGCACGCGCTGGTCTGCGTGCCGCCGCCCCAGCTGTGCTGCCATGAGCGGGTGCCGAGCGCGCCCGGCGGCTGGTCTGCTGCCGGCGTTTTCGGAGCACCTACCGGCTGAGTGTGCCCTGCCTGCATGTTACAGATGAACCCCGCTCCCCGTGTGCCCGAAGTATCGCACCTGCCAATCTGGCACCAAACCGCCGTGTAATGCCGATGTCGCTGCTTAACTTTAGTTGGTTGTCTTCTTTGTAGGTAAGTGTGTTGTTTGATTTTTACTAGTCAGCGTTAACCTGGATGCATGCCACTATACTTAATGCTTATGTACCTGATAAAATTGACCTCGAACTCATTTGGACTGTGTATACTTGATTGTCATCCTGTTTACCTGCGCAGCATTCTGTTCTGCGTAGAGTCCGTCGCTGCTTATTCGTCTTTGTCATGCATCACCTGCTTAACTGTTCAGCACTTCGAAGCTTGTCGACTACTGGCACTCCAGTCGTCTTTGTTTTGTTTTGTCGGCCCTCATGTATTTCTGTTTATGCTGTGCCAGACCGGTACGTTGCTATGTTCTTCTGGACTGCGAGCACCCGTCTCCGATATCCTATTTGTGTCGACCAGTTCAGTCCCGAAGAGCGGCGCGCTTGTGCCGGACGCGCGGGACCTGCCCCTGTCATGTCTGACTTCACCCGCCAGTCTGGACCAGCCACCCCCGCAGCCGCTTCACATACCCCGCCCCCCCCCCCCCCCATGTGATATTATATCCATGTAATGCCTGACCGCGCTGACCCCGCTGGTGGACACTCGTCACCCGCTCTCCCACCGCAAAACCCTCAAGATGGATGTGATATCTGCCATGCATGGAATCTAATAACCATCCATGGCCCATCATGAGTTACGATTACTTACCATGACCGACACGGTGTTTGACGAAAGGCTGGGCACGATCTGCTGCGTGGTGTATGCAGGATTAGGCCTTTGGGCGACTTATAGTTATTTACTGGAATGACATTTTAATTCACCGTAGGCTGCAAAATTTCGTTAATTGGGTGTTACAGTACGAAATGGTTTCAATCCAATCACGTTTGCACATCTATTTCGTTTCTTGTATCGACGCTTATTCATATGCATATTACTGCATGTCAAAATTGATGTGAAATGTAAGGATAACCTGATGCTGATAGTATGATGAATTGTTTTAGGAAAAAGGCTTTCGTAAAAAATGTAAACGTAAAGCATTTTCCTTCGCACCCTTATATCATAATGCTGCTCATCCACTTGGTGTTATGTAATATTCATGCCAAAATTGTATAAAGGAGGCCCGTGCCTCCTGTCCTCGCCACGCTTCGAAGACGCCTGTGATCCTGTACGCTCTTCGACCTGTGGGAACTCTCATGTGACCCCCTTTGTAAACTCTGTCCAGCCTCGTCTGACCTCACGGCATCTCATACGACCTTACCTAACCTGCTTGACCAACATGTGACTCCACTTGACCGACGTGACCTGCGGCATGACCGGCGCCTGACCCGCACGCGGTGGCGACGGCAGGCGGCCGACGCCGGCGAGCTCTGCGACGGCGAGCTGGACCCGGTGATGTCGCAGTCGCGCGACTGCGAACCGTCGCCGCCGCTGCCGCGCAGCGCCTCGCGAGGCAGCGTTGTCTCTGGCCGTCGCACCTGCTCGACCGCCGGCACCTCGGGCACGCCCGGCTCGCCCGGCCGCCGGCCCTCAGTCCGGGCGGCGGCGCGCGCCTATTCGGGAAGGTAGGTGAGGTAGGCCCGACTGGTGGCGCTGGGCGGGACGGAGCGCCTGGCAGAGAGTCATCGCGCCTGGCCATCGCGCCAGGCGTGGGGATACGCGCAATTTCACGGACGATAACCTTGGTGTCAGGGCTGTTGGAGTGGCATACGTTGTCCGTCGGACTCAGCTGAAAGTGTGCCATCAGGTGTCGGGCGTATTGTGCGGCCACTGTCGTTGCTTTGCCACTCATTCGATAAGTGGTTTACTCGGCGTCTAGGGGTATTGTGGTCTGGCTGCTCAGCATGGTGGGCAGGCTGCTCAGCATGGTGGGCAGGCTGCTCAGCATGGTGGGCAGGCTGCTCAGCATGGTGGGCAGGCTGCCCAGCATGGTAGGCTGGCTGCTCAGCATGTCCCATCGCTGCCTAGATGGGCTGAGACAGTGACATTGTGGCGAGCACTATCTGGTCCTGTCATTGCAGCGGTGATTCCGTCAGGCTTTTGTGCAACCGGTCCCGTGCCGATCTGAGTGCGCTACTTCCGGCAGGGAGGGTCGCCGTTCCGGTTGCCACACGCCCGACTCGGCGTGCTCGCTGGACGGCGCGCCCGGCTGGCCATCCAGCCCGCCGCCGTTTGTCAGCCCGGCGCGGCGCTCCCAGCCGGGTACGCCGGCCTCGGCCCGGCGCCCCGGTCCCGGCCCCGGGTCTGGGCCTGGACCCGCGCCCGGACCGGTCGGCTACGGGTACACGGCGGCGGCGCCCTACAGCGGCGCGCCGCGCACCACGGCCAGCGGCCTGGCCGAGCCGGCGCCGTGGCCGCCGGCCGGCATAGCGCAGTCGCCGCCCGGCGGCCGGCGTGCGCCACCCGGCTGGCCACCGCCGGCGGGCCGGCCGCCGTCCCCCCGCCGTCGCTGCCCAGACGCCGGCTACGAGATTTCCGTGTAGCAGCCGAGTACAAACTGCCGGCGTGCGGGGAGTGGAACCGGGGCCCCTGCGTTGTGACGGTCGTCTGGTATGGCATGTGAGCGACTGGCGGCGAGGCGCGGCCGGACGCCGCCGGCTCGGACGGCGTGCGTGGGCGTCAGACGCGCGTGGACGCCGTAGTGCTGGGCGTGTCGCGCGCGCTGCTGTCGCTGCTGTCATGTTCCGGGTCTGTTGTCGTGAGTGTGTGGGTGAGGTGGCGAGTATGACGTGGGCACCGCGTATGCGCCAACATTCTCTCAGACATACGCTTATAATGCTGATGCTCGCATGCGACTGACACTTGGCCATCTCGTTTGATCTCCGCGCCTGCGGGTGTGCGTGGGAATTTAACGTCTTTCTCCGACGTTATCGGCTTTACCTGAGGACACCGCTAGCCGTTTTGTTGTGTTGTGTTTCCTCTCGCGTCGCGCCGCCGTTGCGTGTTGCCTGTGGGACGCTCAATGTTGTGCCGTGTCGACCCGGCCTCGCGATGGCGGCGGCCGCTGCCGCCCCGCCCGGACGTGCGGCACCGAGCTGGCTCCCGGGGACCGCCCCTGACCAATCGTAGACACCCGGTGTCGGCAGCGTAGTTTTTGTACTGGGCCGACCAATGCGGGTCCTGGTGTGTGAACTGGGCCGCTGTCGGCTCGCATGGCCGGAACGCGACCAAAACTGCTGACGGCCAGGCCCCTGGGTGTGCTCGGAGCGGGACGCAGCTGTTTGCGCTAGCGACCGAACGTCGTGTCAGTGGTGTTACGAGTCTGTCTAATTGCGTGGGCCAATACAGCAGTGGGCCACAATGGGGATCTGAAGGCGGACCTGAACTCTGAACTATGGTAAGCTAATGAAAAACCCGCGTGGAGAAATGCAGCGAGAGCGGATATTTACTGCGTAAAGACAGTGAACCAACACAACAGGAAATTGTGACCAAAAGCTTATACCACGTGTTTGTTTTTGTGCGGCTGTTGCAGTAGGCACTGCACTGCGATGGTAAAGCGATGGCTTCAGGAATTGTCGAATGAGAATTCTAAACTGAATTCTGAACAGAAGTGAGAAAATGCCTGCTTGTGGCTCAGAAAATCTCACCAGCTGTTCACAATTCACGCCGATATGCACTTTTAATGCTGAAGTTCCAATCTCTTGGCGAGCTACATTATCATGACATCGTGCTTGGGTGCTTGACTCAGAGTCCTGCTGTACATCCTTAATCATGCACGGAAAATGGACTTGTGCGGCAGACACCTGCGGTCCGGTTTATGAAAATAATCCAGCTGGTTCTGCCTCATGAGCTGCTGCTGCTGCCTCAGCTGCCTCTGCCTCGTCCAGCTGTAACAATTTGATTCACGTCATTTCTACCGAACATTTCCCTTGTTGTCCTGCCCTCACAAGTGTGCGAGAGTTGCGCGGGTGCGGGCGGAAGCACCAGTGGGCACAAAATTGCAAGAGCATGCTGCAAATGCGACCTCCGCGTGCATAGTATAGGATAGTTCGTATAACATAGCTTAGTCCGCGCGAAATCCCTCATATATTTGTCAATCTGTGTATTCTTACATCTCGAGACCTTATCTCATCGTCGGAGAAATATAAATGGCACCAGAGATAATAAATACGATTTTGAGTTCAAGGATGAAGGTTATGCGCTGCTATCTGGAAAACATCTTTTCGTACGAAGATAAAAAAACCAATTGTGAAAACACTATAAAGGCACGAAAATCTTGCCACAAACACATTTATGGTGCCACCACCCGCCACCAAATAACTCGATTGTGCAATAATTTATTTGTTTGTTTAGAGCTGGAGGAAGAGTTTCTAAAAAAATTGCTTTCCCAAGTTGACGGCGCCTTCTGTGATTGCCCGTCTGAAGAATGTCCGTGTTGTTAGCTGAGTTTGTTTTATTATTTCCCGCTGATAATATTATATCGTATAACATAATATCATAATTGTATATAATGCAATATTACGATATACGAAATAATATTTAAATATTATTTCCCGCTGAGTTTTAACGTGATGGGTGGTAACCCAGCCAACATTCTCAAATGGGATCCACATGGTGGAAACGTGGTGCAGCTGGTTTAATGTGAGCATGGGTTACAGATAGGCTTTTAACTGGGCCCCAGCGGGTCCCACATGGGGCGCCAACATCATTTCATATTTTTGCTTGCACCAGAGCTGTACATGCCTTGTACTATTCCATCGAAATTAATCACGTCAAGTAGAACTAACTCACGAGGAGGGAATGCTTCCATTGGTGGGATCCATATGGGCCATATGTGGCCAAGCTGGGCTCATGTTAACGTGGTCTGCAGGTGGGCTGGTATCTAGGCTGAACCTGGGACCCAGGTGGGCTACCCACATGCAGCATGCCCTATAAATTTGTCACACACACAGTATTGATGTGTGTACCAATTGTTCGAATTGTCATGTCCGTGAAGTTATCGATTTGTTCAGTGATTTTTCAGCGACGAGAAAAAGTTCAATTATGTTGCAATAGCGTGTGATCCTCGAGGTCAAAAGCTGGGTCAAAGGACGCGGAAGTCGATATCACCCAAAAATTACCGGCCGATTTGAAAGCTGTAAGCATGAAAATATTCACAAGCGCAAGAGCAGGCATCCGTCAAAAATTTTTGACCTCTCAAGATGGCCCTTCAAGGCCAAACGCGTACTCAAAGGACGGGAACTCGATATCGCCCAAAAATTACCGGCCGATTTTTAAGCTACAAACATCGGAACATTCACCAAAGAAAAAACTAGCGTCCGTCAACAAGTCCTGACCTTTCAACGTCACGTATCAAGGTCAAACGCGGTATATATATATATATATATATATATATATATATATATATATATATATATATATACATATATATATATATCACTCAAAAATTACTGGCCGAATTTATGCTTAAGAACATCAGAATATTTACCCTAGGAAGGACTAGCGTCCATCAAAAAGTCCTGACCTCTCAAGGCCATTCCTCAAGGCCAAACGCGGGCTCAATGGACAAGGAACTCCATATCACTAAAAAATTATCGGCCGATTTTAAACTTGAAAATATCAGAATATTTACCACAGAAAAAGCTGGCGTCCGTCAAAAAGTTCTGACTTTTCAAGGTCGTCGTTCAAGGTCAAACACGGGCTCAAGGAACGGGGAACTCGATATCACTCAAAATTTCCCCTCCGATTTTAAACTTGCAAGGTTTAGAATGTTCATCACAAAAAGAACTAGTGTCGGTCAGAAAGTCTCGACTTCTCAAGGTCATTCTCCAAGATCAAACATAGGCTCAAAGAACGGGGACCTCGACGTCACCCAAAAATTACCGGCCAATTTCAAACTTGCAAATGCCAGAATATTAATCACAGAAAGAACCAGTGTCCCTCACAAAGTCCTGAGCTTCAAGGCTACCCCTCAGGGTCAAGCGTGGGCTCAAATAATGGATTACTCCTCCATATCACCCAAAAATTAGCAGCCGATTTTAGAATTGCGAAGATCAAAATATTCACAACAGAAAAAACTAGCATCCCTCAAGGTTACCCTTCTGCTAACCTTGAGATGTCAGGACTTTTTGACAAACACTAGTTCTTTCTGTGGGGAGTTCCCCGTCCTTTAATAGCTTGTGTTTGACCTTCAAAGATGACCTTGAGAGGTCAGGACTTTTCGACGGACTCTATGGTTATTTCTGTGGTGAATATTCTGACAATCGCAAGCTTGAAATCGCTCGGTAACTTTTGGGTGATATTGAGTTCCTTGACACTTGAGCCCGCGTTTGACCTTGAAGAATAACCTTGAGAGCTCAGGACTGTATGACCGATGCTAGCCCTTCCTGTGGTAAATATTCTGATGTTTTTAAGTGTAAAATCAACCAGTAATTTTTGCGTCGCGTTTGACCTTGATGGGTGACGTTGAGAGGGCAGGACTTCTTG